AGGTTGAAAAAAAGTAAGGCCATGTTGATTTCATTATCTCAAATTGTATCCTCTACAGCAATGAACGAAATGAACTCTTTGACGTAGCCTCCAAATTCTACCCAAATTTTCACACATATACAAATGAAATTGAAAAGAAAAGTACTCTCCTCTTAACATCCCAAAACCCACAAATTACAGAAAAAGTGGGATCCTTTGTCTTCCTCTGTCTTCAAAAAAGAAGTCAAACCCAGTAGTTTTTACTAGTAGTTTCTTAGTAGTTATCAGTACTTCTTTGTGTTAATTATCTGTTTTTATACCAAATGTTTCTTCTGTTCATGCAATTAGCCCTCGTGGGCATGTATTTGCAATAAAACTTATTGTTATATGGATGACATCCGCACCCGCATGAATTTTCCTCCATTTCCAAAACAAAATTTTTCAACCATACAATACCATTGTGCTCAATCATAAGTAAACCAATTACCTCCACAGGCATCACAGTTCTCCATAACAGTCCTCAGTCCAGCAGTCTCACGGGCCTGAACACGAGAGAGAGTAGTGTTAGTACCTTGTAAAGTTTATGTCGTCGCTACATGAAGTAGAGCATTGTGCAATGACAAGAAGCCATTGAAATTGCAGTTTGCAGAATGGCCACCAGAGGCGCTTCTGACCTGTCTACTTGATCATAGTTACTACAATGACTATTGACTTTCAACAGGGCGATTGGTTGTGCAGAGCCATTTGCTATCGCCCACACTTAGCTTTATCATAATATCAAAAGAAGACCCACCTGCGTCCTGACATCCCTCTGGAGTTGTCTAACTGCCTGTGTGAGCTCTCTCATGGTGGACACAAGCATGTTCATCTCGCTTGCACCTGTGAAGAAAAGACTGTCACTCCCATTCCTAGGTTTGCTTGTTATGAGAATGTTTGCGGCACTAGAAAATGTCTCGTTCTTGTCAGTGCTAAACGTTCATTTTCACATCACAGCTAAGAACTGCATGAAGAAGAAATCTTGCGTGCGGAAACAAATACCTGGTATAGTACTAGTATTTGTAACATTACTCGGGTACTAAGAGTAATTCTGCACATACGACCACAGATAGCATGTCCTCAAATAAAGAGATGCTCGTACTCACCAAACGTGCCAGGAACTGAAAGAGAATAAACAAGGAACAAAAAATCAAAATGCAAGTAATGATTGGCAAAGACAACAATCAATATGTTAACTGATAGACTCCGTAAACTAACCATGTACTTACCAACAACAATACAGTCAAGTACGTTTAGGCAAGTCAATACAAACATGTCCATGGGCATGAGTCATCAGAATGGCATGCAGAGCAAGCAACCAATAGGCATGCAACATTCCTCTATTCTTCTTGCTGATTGGCTGTTGGAATTAGATTGGCTTAACTCAATTAACACCTGTACAAAGCCATGCCATATTGACAGTATGAACTGCACACTTTAAGTGTTTTGGTAGGTATGTCAAGCTTTCCTGCTCCAGCATTGGCATGCGGGACATAAACGCTTCCTGTTACCTTGAAAATCAACAGTTTGCATTATGCAATTAAAAATCCTTACCAATAATGTAGGGCATAGGTACACAACTGTTGACAGTTCATCCTATAGTTATATCAATGTAAATCATTGTTTTCCCTTGTGTTTCTCCTTCTTTCCCTGCCATGTTGTAAAATGTGGCGAAGCCATCCGCTACATTTGCTCCAAAGCAAATGTCGGCTTGTCTAGTTCGCTATGTGTGTTTCAAGCGCCCCCTACCGACATTTCCGATGACATCTCTCTGGGCGGTGCCCCTTGAGCCGTGTGTGTGTTCATCTGCCTGCATCAGGCAGTCCTGGAACTGCAGCACGGACAGGAGGTCCGTGTTGAACATCAGCCGCAGGTTCTGCAGCGTACCCTGCCAAGAGGAGACATACGCACCGTAAACTTTCGTGAAATGACATACAATTACAAATTCTTGACAACAAGTCTTCCCCACACTGTGATAGCCAAGTTGCAAAATATATACTGCTCGGAGTATCGGTTGATTGCACCATTTTGCACCATTTGAAATACTCAGTTCTTTTCTCAAATCTACCAAAAAAGATTGCCTGCATCTCTTAAGTCCATAAGTTGTTTCTCTGTCAAGACCTGTGTGTATTTCAGCTAATTTCACCACAGATTTCAGAAGGGCTGCGTAAGCATCGGGGCAAGCTGTACCAAAACCGTTTCTCCTCATGTTTCTGTGATTAGCATTCTCCTGACTGTAGCCTGAGGGCAGAGATAGTCCAGAGACCATCGTGTTTGAGTCAGGGGTTTTCAATAAGGGCTACATTAGTGTACATACGATGATGTGCTCTGGTCCTTGTGTCCTGGGGACCACCGGCTTAGAAACGACATACAATATCCCCGAGCTACCAAAACAACAGGTGACAATAATTTAGGAAGAAGCGTGCTTTGTACAAACATGACACGATTGAGCTTCGGCCTTGGCATTTCTTTATTCATCCCCTGACTTTTGTCACAATTGTTTTTACTTTGAGTATGAAGCTGTGGGAGTTTGGCGCAAACAAAGCTGAGACACATGTCAAGTGAATTAGCCATTACGTAATGACAACGTGAGTGCCATTCGTTCACGATAATTGCTCTTGTCACTTTTGGAAGCGGGACAACTTACAAACGTCCTTGCTCAGTGGCTTAAGGACTTGCGTGCAGAATGTGTACAAAACTGTCAGTTTCGAATGTCTCAATGTATCATAATTCATTTCTAGTCAGCATCGTTGACAGCTATGACTATCAGCATTGTTGATAGCCTGGTTACCAAATCTATTTTAGCTGCCAAGTTTCTTTATTGAACGTCCTGTGCAGCTAAAATAGTTATCACGGTTTGGCAACCAGGCTATTGGTGAAGAACATTCTAGAAGACACAAGTGATGTCCTATTAAAAAGTTACGACAAATAGGTCTGATCAGTGTAGGATTGTTTTTCCACCAACCTTGAACTTGAGCTGACCCTTGCCAGGTCCCCTCTGTGCCACTCTCAGCTCAGCGACGGTCTCCAGGTAGCTGGCGCCAAGGGACTCCAGCACAGGTGCGTTCGTCCTCACCTGTATAGTGATCCACAACATCACAGTCATGTACAACGTAAGGACAAATTCTCTCCCTCTCTCTGCTAGCTGAACAGGATGACACACAGGACTCCTGTACACCCAGGTTTAAGAAATATCCAGATACTTCCATGGAGAAGCACAAGCAATCAACTGGCTGTCACCAAAACCCCAGCAAGAGAGTTTCAGAAGATCCATTGACTACTGTGGACCCGTTGGTTGCAATGTGGAACAGTAAAAAGTGGCTTATAAGGCCATCGTTGGAGTGGAAACGACGGCGAGACCGACAGAAGAAAGTCTGTCAGGACAACATCAAGGACTGGACGTCCCTCACCGTCCCACAACTCCTGACAGCAGCCCAAGACAGGAAAATCTGGCAACAACTCTGCTGCAAGGTCTGCCTTGCGCCCCCCCCCCCCATGGGACTAGGTAGGTAGGTAAAAGATTTGAACTTCTCGTGAATAAGGAAGGGGTGGGTCAAACAGACCCTACCTTGTCGTCCAGCGCACAGTCCACGTACAGCTCCACGGTGTTGGTGTCGTGCAGCACGCCGGCCACGCGCACCAGGATGGAGTGCCACTTGTTATCGGCGATGGGAGTCTTCCCCAGGTGGAGAGACGTCTGCTCCTCACCACTCAGGAAGTTCACGGTCACTGTGGAGGAAGAAAAATAAACATATTCATACAGTACAACAACCGACGTTTCGATGAACGTCTGTCATCTTCATCGGGGCGATTCTGGCTGGTTCACTGTGCACTGAAACTTGGTGTTACTGGTTCACTGTGTACTGAAACTTGGTGTTACTGGTTCACTGTGCACTGAAACTTGGTGTTACTGGTTCACTGTGCCTGCTGTGCAATGAAGCTATGTGTTACTTTACTGCTACCAACGCAAAGCAACTTTGCATTACTAGCAGTAAAGTAACACCTAGCTTCAGTGCACAGTGAATAGTCAGAATTTCCCAGATTTGGTCATTGAATTCGAAACCTTGGCTCTTGTCAACAAGTGGTTGTGAACAAATAACTTTGATATTCCATCATTCTCCAACCTTAAGGATCCTTTAGGTCCGAAATTATTTACGGAAGATGCATTATTACATTGTATTACATTGGATACAAGTAGGTCCCCCACCCTATTATACTAGTAGTCTTTTACCCTCCCTCTGACTGACTCATGGCAATCGCCTGCGGACCCGTTCGCGACAAATTGATGAGAAAAAGAAGACATTCTAGACTATATTTATGTTTAGATCTCTTTGAACCGTTTCATTCTAAGCAATTTCACATTGATCTCTGTATTATTCTTGCGGTGAATTATCACATGCGCTAAACGTATCTTCGCGGAGGAATGCGTTCCTTGGACCGCGGCTCCTCCCCGAGAGCCCCGCAATCAAGGCTTGGGACGCTGAGGAAACGTTTCAACAATTCGCCATGCCGCTCGTCTGTCAGCGACATCTCCGTGATCCCTGCACGGCGCGTGGCTCTGGGATTTGCCGGGAAAGGAAGGCGAGGAGACCGTGAAATCTGGAGATGTTCTGCTCTACTTTTTAAACACGCACACACGTGCGAGCCTGGCATGGTTTAGATTAAAAGCCTGCATTTGTTGCACAATTAGTAATAGTAGAATCCATTGATAAGGTATGCGTGTTTCATCTGAAAACATCGACGTCTCAGTAAACCTATGCCAATTATGACAAATTTGCTCCGGATGACGGCATATTTCTACTTTTGAAAGGCGAATATATTGGCCTAAAATGGCACCCGATTTCAGGGCGACAGAAGAAAAATATTCTGGATGAGGAAATCTGTCTGATATCATAATTGGAATTTACTGACATTTCTTATCAGTTTTTCGTCGTCATTTCATACTTGAAGGGTATGCATAGCTGGCACAAAAACAAGCTACGTCTCTTTTTTTTTGGGGGGGGGGAGGGGGGAGCGCCCATAAATCATAAATATCTAGAACCAGCCTACAATAAAAAAAACACAGCAACCGTTTTCCGTCAGTGACGTTGTATTTTTATCTAACAGATATCAGTATGCTATGGGGTGGGCTTGATTCAACTTACTAATTCAAAAGAATGACTAGACAATTGACTTTGAAAATCCACAATTTCCCCACCCTGAAATTGCATCGGTTGAGTACATTCACCATACGTAAGTACGTATGACATCTATGGTGGGTGGGTGGAGTCTTTATAGAACGGGGTACGGGTCAGATTGTGAATTCCCGTGCGTATGTGTCATATGAGGTCCAACACCAGGTAATCAATGGTGCTTCTTTCTTTTTATTGATTTTCAAAATAACAAAAGAAAAGTATGCCAACACAAAGCGGTGCAAATGCATAACAACAAAATTTATACAAAACCAGAAGACAAGAAGATTGGGACCATAGAAAAAATTAATGAAAACGCATTTTTTGCTAAACAAACAGTAGCTGAAGGAAACAGATCGAAATGACATGTACTATGCGATACTTGCCCATGTGCTTATGTATTTTATCTAATCTTTTTGGGATAGTAGATTCTAATGTTGAACATAGGATAGGTAAGAAATAAAACATCGATGGTGTTTTCCATCCATCCTGAGGAACCCTGAGGATGTTTAAAGACTGATCACTGCATGTAGTAGATATAGACCGCGAAACACGCTGGTGGGAACGGGGTGTTAAAGAGGCAATATATGAAAGAATGTACAACCCCACCCTCAACAGGGAAGGGGGGCTACGGGTCGATCTTTCCGGCACTTGGGATTTGGCACTCCCAGTCCCGAGGACAGACAACACTTAAGCTCCTGTCCTGTAATACAGGAGCTTTCAGACTAATTTGCATCATCTTGTCTTGACTTGTCTGACTTTTGTTCCTTTTTCGACTTCCAAAAAAAAATTGTCTTCACTTTATTTGCATATCAATCAACAGGTTGTGTATATAAACCTGCTTTCCGCTCTGGTCTCTCAGTCACTGACGAAAGCTAGTGGATACTAGCTGAAACGTCTGACGTTTTCAAAATCATATCCAGTTGCTTGAGTAACTGTTTTTTGGCATATCGTATTACCTGGATGTCTAACCTTCATCGACGTGTAGTAGATATACATAGAATGTACACGTGCGCAACCAAGTAAGAGGAATCAGTATCTATTTTAGAACGTTATGAAAGAAGGGCAAAAGGATATTATTGAATGAATGAATGAAGACCTTTATTGTACAAACATACCCACTGGGTTAGGTACAAAGGTTAACTTGAATACACAAATATATACACAACAAGATCAATCTAGTACTAGCACTACAGTCTGTTACATAATTTCGACTTCTCTTTTCTGTGATGTTGAAAAGGTAAGAACATACAAGTTTAAGGATTGGGGGTTTGTCTAAGTTCATTAAAAATGTGAATTTGTATTATAATTACTTAGTTGTGTAAAGTGGGGAAACACCGATGTTATCCGTCTATAAAGTTCAATTCTCGCACCGTTATACATATTATTGAATTAGATGGCCATGCATTCATTACACCAACAATCCCCGAGGGAGGATCCATCCTGTGACCGCCCGGGAGGAAGCGTACATGGAGGGTGTCCCCAGCTGACCTGAGATGACCTGTGCGGTTGTAGGGAAATTCTACAAACAGTAGGCTATCTCTGTCCGACATCAGGAACTGATAGCAGCCACCTGGCAACTGTCACTACCGTGGAAAGGGACTCGGATGAGCGAGGAACAAAAAGGTCCTTGTTT